CAAACGTTTTAAATTAGTTTTTGTTTTTCAATATAAAATTAAATGCATTTTTATTTGATACGACTATTTGCATTATACAATTTGATTTACTATTGTTCAAATTGAATTTAAGTAGATGATAAATAATGTTTTAATTTAGTAAAAAAAAGTAAATGTTTATTTAATTTGTGTGTAAAATCTTTAAACATCAACTATTATGATACACTGGAATATATAATAATTAAAAACATATTATTTTGACTGTAAAGATGCCACATACATCACATGTCATTTTAATGCATTGTAAATCTGTAACATATATTATTATTTTTTTTATACAACATTATTATACTTAATTTTTAGCGTGTTTATCTTTGTTAAGCCATTCCATAAGCATGCCATCGGCATAAGTTCAATAATAGCATATCAGTAAAAACATAATATCTCATTCAAAATAACTACTAATTAATTTATAAAGTGCTATAAATTTATCTTGCACTTTCACAAAAATAAGAGAGATGATGTCTCACTCACTGCAAAATCTCAACAACAAAAAAAACGCTTACAAACTATATTTATTTTTACATGCAAGTTGCTACCTGCATGGATGGGTCGATTGATTACCTACACCGATTTTATTTTATTTACAACAAAAAAATCTATGATTATTAGCTACTGATTATAATATATGGCGTTATTAGTTTGTTTCCTTGCTTATTTGCGGCGAATTGTTGTAGCCACGTCATGTCTTTCACGGAGAAGAAGAAGTTGAGGAAGACTCGGTTTGAATAGCAGTCTCCACGAATTGGGTTGTAACTTGTTCCCACTTGGTGATGGTCAGCTTAATCTGTTTTTGTTGTTCTGGTGTACATGTCAAAGATCCATCTTTCTTGCCTTTGTTCTGACTCACAATTTGACTGTAGATGGTATCCAATTCCTGCACAGTTTTCATGACTTCTGTTTGATAAGTTTCCATGGAACTCTTCACCTGTCGATATACCACAAATCACTGTCGTTAATTATTCATATCCTGAAGAAGTAGGCATTTCTTTGGATAGAAAAAAAATCAAAGATTTTTTACGTACCTTTGCTGATTTGCTTCCAATTCTTGAACGCATAAATGCCATGGCATCAAATAGTTTCCCTCCAACAGATTTAATCCCTGCAAAGAAGCCTTGTCTGGCTTTGGAAGAAGCCGTAGCTGAGGCTGTCATGGTACCCTTAAGTTTCTCGAAGAAGGACTTGTATTCCTCTTTTTGCGGACACTTCTTCTCAAGGTTCATTATGAATGTCATAACGTCTTTGGAAGTTTCAGCCTCGACTTCTGTCACAGGAAGGGCACTATTCTGGCTAGCACCGAGACTTTCACTTGTAGTAGAGCTGGTGGAACTCGCAGTAGGGCTAATGGAGCTTCCACCACTACCATTTGCCGAAGAAGTTGTAGGACTTCCACTAGGGCTAATCGAGTTTCCACCAGTAGTATCCTTGAAGGAAGTTCCACTTTCACCTTCAACAACAGAGCTTGAACCAGATTTGCTGCTAGATGGACTTCCACTAGGACTGCCTAAATCAGAGCTTGAACCTGTAGTGTCTTTGAAAGAGCTTCCACTGCCAGAGTTTTTGTTGGTGCCACTAGAAATTTCTTTTCCACTCGTAGAATTTTCAACGGAAGAAGAGTTTGTTGTGCTTTGTACCATTGTGTTTGCGATTTGAGTAATCACTGTCTCCCATTTCAAGATCCCTTCTTTGATTTCTTTTTGTTGTTCTGCTGTTAGCTTCATGGATTCTTCGTTCTCATCCTTTTTGCGGCTACCCATAATTCTACCCGCTAGGGATTTCATCTTTTTGAAGGTTTCAATGGCTTCCATTTTTTCCTCTTGTATTTCCTCCCTAATCTGTTATACATATGCATGATGATGTCGATAAAATGGTTCATAAACTATAAATTTTCAATTTGAAAAAAAAAAACCCGCCTTCACTTACCTTTCCAATAGCAAAAGAAGCTATGGTCTGAAAGAGGCTTCCAGCTTTGGCCTTCATGTCTAGATCGTAATCTTCTTTTTGGTTACTCCTTTTTATAGGGCAAACATACTTGGCGTATGCCCTAAGTTTTTCAAAAAATGCCTTGAATTTACTTGTCTTAGGACATTCCTTCTCAAGGTCTGTCACAAAGACCATCACTACTTTCACGGTGTAAGGCTCCACATCATTCACCGTCTTTGGATCTTCAATTTGAGGCAGAGCTGCCTTAATTTTCAAGTGAGCTGAAACGACGTCTAAAAGAGTCGCAGATGCAAAAAGAATGGTGAAGCATAAAAATAGTTGAATTCTTGCCATGTTTTTCCTATTTGTCGATCGTGAGGAACAAAGTTTGAAGAATGAATGAATTGAAATGAAATTCTTTGTCTGCTTTTATAGTTATCTTTAGTGTTCTATGTTTAGAATCATTGATCTACTTACCATTTCTACTTTTGTGGATTAAGGTCCAATTAATAGCAAAGTGTTTTATGGTTCTTACGTTTTCAATAATCATTGGTGGTGGTGAGCTCTAATTCTTTGCCTTTGAAATCTGTGATTGTGTTGTGTTGCTCAAAATTAAAATTTTCAATATTAAAAAGGTTGTAGAAAACGGGGTTTATTAATATTGAATTTTCTGTTGTCAAGTCAAATGTATATGAATCCACAAGATTGTAAGTAGGCTAATTTTCTACACTGATATCAAATTAACGTCATATTTACTGCATGCATATTAATTGCACAATAGATTTAGTAAGATTAAACTACATTCGACTCGAAATTGAAATTGAAACAGCACCTCCGCCACCGCCGACCATTCTCCTCGCTGCTAAAGCCATCGCATCTCTCTCCGCCGTGTCAGATTCCGTCAGCCTAATCGACTCATGTCTCCGATGAAAGCAAAGCTCGTCTCGTGGATTTCACCTCCACGGAAGCCACCAGATCGAGGGTCGTCTTCTTCGCTTGGGGCATATCCGGCGTTGCAGGAGCTTCGTCCTCCACCAGAACTTCCAGATCTACCAGATAAATCTCTGGCTATTGTCTCCTCTGTTTCCTGGCTCTTGCTTGACTTCTCGCAGAGTGTCTCAACATCAAATCTGAGATTTGTGTTATCAGATTTGGTTTGGCATCCAGATCGAGGGTTGTATGACTTTGCTCTTGACTATCTTTCCTCTGTTGGAACTTGCTTGGTGTGTGTTACGATAAACAAGGTAGGCTTCTACTCCTCATCCTCCCTTCTCTTTCTTCAGAAAGATTTGGGATGTTCTTTGAATGTGAGGCTCTGACTTTGTTTTACCCGAGTATATCGGGTTCGTGTGTTGCTTCTTTCGCCACTGTGCAACTCTCTCCTACTGCAATATGCAGTCCCTGTTTCGTCGACTATTTGGAACATATAATCTTGGCCATGTTAGGTCAGTGCGCTCTGCTATCTAGGAGTCTTAGGTACTTTATATATGAGAAGAATATGAGAGTTAGTTGATGTTGGTTGACTTGTGATCCACAGGCTTATACTGCTTCAACGATTGCTTGTCCAATTATACCAGAAAAATCTGAGGTTTTTCTCTTCTCTATCGCATCTTTGCGATACTTTATTGCAGTATGCAGGCTGTCATCATGATTCTCTTTGACTCTAGCACCTGTCTCGCTTGAGTTTGAAGGAAGATCGCTCTTCATTGTCTTTGGTCCATTAATTTTTGGTATATTGGACACGCTCTGATTACTCCTTTATGGAGGTTGTTTACACCATTTCATTCCCTTATGTGGTGAGGGATTGTTTTGTAGTGAAAAAAGAGTTGGAATTTGCTTTGCTATTTGCAGACCATTAAGATTACAAGGAATATTTCTTTGCATCAAGTCTTCGACACTCGCAGGTGTATACCTCCGGTGTTAGCAGAGACTCTTCTATTCAAAGTCGTCTTAAGTGCCGCTTCAACTATGGAAATCACGTACTTTATTGTGTTCTCGGTTTCTCCTTCTCTTGTCAACCTTCTCAAGTGTGAAGTTGTTGTCAATGAGCAGAAAAGCATCCTATATGACTTTGTTTGTCTATTAGGCCCCTTTTCTCCTATCCTTATATTTCATGCTTGTTATACGGCATATGTTTTAGCCGTTTTGTTAGTTATGTCTTCTTTATTAGAATGTAACATTTTCTTCTCGATTGAGTTTAATCTATATATAAAATTTGGTTTGATAAAAAAAAGATTTAGTAAGATTTTTTGAAATCAAAGTCTACCCCAGTTCGAGTCAGGTTTTCATAATAGTCCTGGCTATCGTGGTTGATACGAATTATAGAAACTAGAGTTTTTCTTTTACAATTTTGTTAAATTTATTGATGGAAATAATTTTAATTAATCTAGTATTTTTATATTTACAATTAATAAAACAGACAATATTTTATAGATATGAAATAATATTTCATTTGAATTGAAATAAAATTAATTGTTTTTCTAATTTGTAATTGTATGAAAATATGAAGTGATGCGCAATCGATAGTTTCTATTTGAAAACAAATATGTTTGTTTGAGACTTTGTTATCTATATATATAATATAGTTTTTGTAGGTTTGTAATTAAGCACTCACCATTTTATTAATCAAAATTTTCTCTATATTTCCTGAGATTGTTCAATATCTTTGAATGAAATAAGATATCCTCAATCGGATTACTTTAATAATTAATATCATTTAGTTCTTTCTTTTTTTTTATTCTTGATTGCGTGTATATGAATTTTCTCTCATTTGCTCTTATATTTATATATATTTTACATATTTTTCAACTTTGAAATTTAAATATGTAACCACTTATCTTTATCATAAAGTCATAATGTTTTATTACTCTTAAGCGAAGTAAAATATAAATAAAATAGATTTTTTACTGTAATATTTTATTTACAACAATAAGTACTCAAAATATTCTTGTATATACTACT